ACATAACCTTTTAAGACTTTCTAGGTTTGGTACACACGCATTTTGGATTTATTTTGTATTCATAAAGAAAATATGAACAGAACCTTGTTTCTGTTAATCTCACTGTGTTTTTAGGAAAAATGGATATAGCTTTATTTTTCTCATTACGTTTTTTAAACTGACTTTCAACAGTAACATTAACATAAAAAAGGGCAGTGTATGTTGTGCAGTACTGTTGTATACTAGCCTCCTTTTCGTTTCTTCTTAGGAGGTTCCAAACCTTCCTCCTCCTTTGTCTTCTGAGGATCCGACTCTTTTTCTTTGTCAGTTACTTGTGAAGTGATTGCAGAAGTTCCAGTATTCATATCCAGCTTTTCATGTTTGTCATGCAGTCCTCTTAGACACACAGATTCTATGACAGGGAAAGCAGGCACAGGAGTGAAAACTGAGGATTGTGATCCTGCAAAATAAAACCAGAAGGATGAACATAGCTACATACAGATAGGATGTGAAAATAAAAGGTACTCAAACACTGGTGATGCACACACAGCAATCTGAACATCTGGATAAGGAAAAGTGGAGCTAGAAGGCACTGTCTGCATATCTATACTAAATGTATTCTGAGCCAATCTAACTGGAAGACCTGGGGGAAAGCAAGCTATTAGTTCTGTAACTCTACTTAAAATCCCCATTCCTCTTTAAGTTGTATTTATTTGTAAGACTCCTACCCACACCAGGTCTTCCTGAGCAAGATGCCAGGTGGAGGATTTATGCAACACTGATGGCGCACAACAGGCCAAGATCACAGAGGAGGGCAAAGCTGTTTTCATAGGAGCATGTTTTAAAAGTCCCAATGAACTGTTGACAAATGCTGCTTTCTAGATTGCCATTCTTGCTTCAGTTCTATTTTAAGAGTTGCACAGTACTGTAGTATTACACTTGCCAACATAATGCATGATCCCAGACATGGGGATCCATACTTCTAGGGAGCCATGCAGTATATTTTGGCCTTAGAGTGCTAAGCAAGGACAAGGGGACTGGTGACTGGCAGCAGTGTGACAATTAAAGGAGTTTCTCAGAGTGACTGCATGAGCACTCATATCTAATTACTTTGTTACATGAGCCACATAGATATGCTAAGTTTTCACCACTACAAAAAAATAAAGATAGGACAGTTCTGGATTTATGTGTATTTTCTGCCCTTCTGAACACAAGCAATTCTCATACTTGCCTTATCCAACTGGGCTTTAACCTGCCTGCTTAGAGAGAGAAAGTTAAAACACACCTATCTACCTGGTATTTTTCACTAGAACTTTACAAAGCAAATGCTAATGACCCATAGAGGGCTAAGAGATTAATCTGTTAAACTTCAAAACTGAGGTAACAGTTCATAGGATATCACACTTCAAACACTCAACACAATTCTTACCAGATGTAGAAGGATTATCCTGCATCAATAAGAGAGGTAGAAGAAGCATTAAAGAGGTTAGATGTAGAAGTAGATGGCTGTGGTTCCTCATAGCAAGACTGAGTAGCGGATGGTGATGAGGTAATTTGGGTCTCATCATTACTTCTTCCTGTCCTTGAGGTATCTTTGGTCACATGGCATTGGTTTTCTACATTAACTTCTACAGTTGGAAGGGGGAAAGAGAAAGTTCTGTATGACAGTGACCACATAATAGCTTCAAAATTCCAAGCAATAAAGAGGGTTACATCAGTCTTTGGAGCTTAGCACCCATTAATGGATCTTGAATTACTCCCTTACCTACTGGTTCTTGAGTTGCATCATGTTTTGTGTTTAAGGATTCATAAAGATAAGCAACATCTGAAAGAGATTTAAAAAATATCGATCAGAATCTCTAAACAAAAACTGACCAACCTTAATCTCACATAAACAACTTCTATTCACAAGTAGCTGCTTCCCCAAAGTGTCTGACAATGGAAGAGGCAAACGAGGGGTCACCTCTATAGTACAATGTTAATACACCCACTTAGGAGGCAATTAGGAACAGCACAGCAAGATCTTTTCTTCTCAGGAAGCCAGGCAGAGCTGCGGCTCGTTTTGTGTGATGTTTAACTTGTGCCAGTCATGGAACCCGAGGCTTAATAATTTCTTAAGCCTAAACTCTGTTTTATGTCAGAACAAACTGTATTTTTACTGATACTTGAATGAAAGTTCTTCGAAGAAGCTTATTATTTCTGATCTCACTTCTCAATTGCTTCAATCAATTTTATTTCTTTGTGAGAACATGAAGACTCAAAAATACAGATAAAGACATGCTCTAAGTTTCATCCAGAAACTAATTTAGTATCTGTTAATAAAACCAACTGGATAATATGCCTTTCTTCTCTATCTTACTTTGATCTAATACAGTTCCAATGATCCCATTGACTTCCTACTTATTTTTCATCTCCAGACACCTACAATCAAATAAGATTCTCTCTTTTTTCTGATCAAAAGTTAGAGTATCATCTCCTTCAGAACTACTCAGAACAGCCAAATACACACACCAAGTCTAAATTTTCTCTCTGTCTTTGTAGATGGAGAAGCAGAAAAAGCAGAACTGGAGGCTTGGTAATTCAAATTCTTGTTAAACAGAAATCATTGACTCAGCTCATTACAGAGCACCTGGAAAACCTGTGTTATTCCAAGCAGCATCAACTGCAATAGTGTCATCTTAGAAAGGATTTGTGAGATAAACAAGCCATACAGACAGACAAATAGGGCTTATCACTGCTTCTTGCAACATTTACAGCAGACAGCATAAATCTGTCTGATCTTTTTGTATATAAACTAACAGCAACTTCATAAGGGAAGCATTTAGTGTTTCAGTAGTGAGCGTGTGTGTACCTAGAATTTTTTATATTAACAGTTCATATATCTATTACTGAATGAAAATTGTAAATACGTTCTTGTGTTTTACGTTAAATATCATGCTATAAGAGTGCCTAGTACCACACCCTCCCTCCTCCCAGTACATCCAATTATCTTCTAAATAATAGGGGAGCTTATAACCATACAAAGTCTGTCTGTTCACCTTGAAGTTCCACTTCAGAGCTATCAAATACAGTAATGAGAATTAACATTTTAAATGCCTCTTTCATCTAAAGTCTTTTCAGAAAGTGACTGCTCTCTACTAAAACTTAAATATTACATATTTCACACTTAAAAGAATTTCATGCTAATGGACAGAGCAGTCGTCTGGGGCACAACAATACATATGTAAATCCAGAACTGGCTCATTCCCTCTCCCCCCTGCATTTATGAAAGTTGAACCTCATCTGTTATGTTTTAATAATAAGCATTTAAATTCTTTCTGCAAAACTTCTCAGTCAGCATTGGACTTAATGATCCTGTATAACTGAATGAAATTAAAAGGTATGAGATGAAAATACTGCTGCTTCAATATTTCCCAAATCATTTACTGACACGTTTAAGGGAGACGACAACACAGATGATTCATAAGACCTTTTAATAATGTTGTTCCATTGCAAAACCTGAGCATTTCCACCTAAACCTTGGTCCCTAACTTCTACCCAGTTAACACATGAAAGAATGTTACTTCCTTCTCAACAACAGTTTGGCTTATTTAAAAACCTTTAAGGAAGGACCTCTATTTTTTTTTTTTTAAAAGACCTAATTATGTTTTTTCAATTACATCATCCTGAAAAGAATTACAGGCACGTGAGGCATGATTCTTCTTTATAACCACACAAATAGTTTTCAAGTTTTACTGAATTCTACTTTCACTATAGGGTTTTCCCCACCTCCACCCCATTTTGCCACTTCCCTCTTTAAAACAACAAAAAGCCCAACCCAAAACAAAACTTAATGCTTTTACAGCCTTTCCTTCTGGTGCCAAAAACTGCTTCCCTGTAATATATAAAGTATCACTAACTACCCCAGCAATTTGACTTGCATGGGGCATGTGAACAGGACCTCATTAGTTACCATTCCATGCATCAGTTCTTCCAAAACTACCTCTAGGCACATTTCAGTTTCAGACAGTTGCTCAGGCTCGTCCCTGAAAAACTGGCACTTCCATGGCCTCTTCCACAGAGACTTGTTTTAAAACATTAGCAAATTACTTGTCTTAAAATTGACTAATTCTGTTTTAATTGTACTGATATTTATTTTATCTCATGGCTCAAAAAAAAAGACAGACTAAGCATGTCATTCAAAAAATATAATTTACTTACTGTTCTCGGGCTCATTTTTTCTGTAAACAAGATAGATCACATCCCCAGTCTGTAAAGGGTACGTCTGCTTCTTAACCACTTTCAGTTTATTAATCACTGTTCCATTTGTACTGTAAAGAGAAAGGCAAAATTACTTAGCATGAAGGTTTTCATAATTATATAGAAAAAGGATGGGAAAACACAAGCTATATTTAATTAAGAAAAACTATTGCCTCTCAAAAGAAAAAAAAAAGACAACACAGTAAGCCAGGATAGAAAAAAGGTCTCAAAACAAATATTTAAAATTTCTCCTAAAGACAGAAGTGCAGAGTTACTAGGACTTCAGAGCTCATTTGCAGCTACTGCTAAAGAGACGATAGCTGACCAACAGAGAGACAAAAGATCCCTGACATTTGGCCAACATCTCAAAATAATTAGATAACTGTTCCTGTACAATAATCTACAACCTTTGAGTGTAAAGCAGGAAAGGACAATAGGACTTCTACTGAAAAAAGTTCCAGGTTATGTCTCCCAATTAACAGTGGGAATCTCCTAAGCTCTGAAAGACAGGAACTTTTCCTGGACAGTCAGGGATGCCATGTGGCATTAATTTTTCTCCCCCCTCCAAACAGTAAAAAACCTGACATCCCAAGGTTAAACTGTTTGCAGCTCATAAGTGAGAAGTTGGTAAGGTGGAAAAACCAGTTATACATAATTAAAAGATGAGTTAGAATTAATCATTTCGATACTGATAAAAACTCCAAGACTATCCAAGGGAGATATTAAATTGAGGAAGAAGAAAATGCAGAGCACTCCTGCTTAATGGAAGTGATGTTTTATACACAAGCTATTAGTGTTTTATAATCAAGTCAAGTTGTTCAAGTACCAAGTAATTCCAGCTCAGTTGCAATAAGCCTCTTTCAGGGCTGCAGCAGTCTAGGTTTTCAGACTCCTGCCACTCAAAATCTCAGCAATTAGTACCAAATATAAACTGACAGAAAACCTGCTTTTTCCCCTCAGCAGAGGAAGCTGCTGCATGAACAGCCAACCTCTGCTGCCACCTCCTGGAGGCCACCACTTATGCCCAGGACACAACACAGCCAGCTTCAAACAGATCAGTTTCTCTCTAGAGAAGACAGATGGTTATTTAGAAATAAGCATCTTCCCTCCCTTCTCTCTCTCTTTTTTTTTTTTTAAAGATTAACTTGGAAAAAATCTATTGTCTTTTAGTAACAAGAATAGAGAAAGAAAACTACAACTTTCATACTTCTGACCTTTCTGGACACAAAGTCAAAAGCATTGCATTACAAAGTCAAAAGGAAAAGCATGTCCTTTTGAATCACCACAGCAAGTCCTGATCAAGGTAATACTTCTTCCTCTTATCTCTGCAACTGCTTTCATTGTCTACATCACTGAAACAACTAATCCAATGTATATAACAAAAAAAAAATGCTACTTTAAACATAAGAAAAAAAAAAACACAGATCTTTGGGTCACAAAATGGTACTATCAGATATAAATTGTCTGCATTGTGAAACAATGCCACAAAAGGTCCTAATGTCATTCTAAAGAGTGGAAGAAAAAAAAAAAATCGTTGACTCAGTTCCACTGGGGTTGATGACTCTACAGTTTGATTAATGAATAATGCATTACCTTTACTTCCTAATCCCAACTATTGTGCAGAATTGATGTGATTAGCTACATCTCACTCAGAACAAGCTTACAGTTTTTGAAGTAGGTGAACGATCTATGTGCTGCAAGACACTTTGGTATCCTTCTGATAAAGATATCAATCTGTTACTTTTTAGTAATTTCTAGCACCTGTCCAGGAGAAGAATGCAATTTATGGTAAAGCAATTTACATTCACAGAAATAGTTTTGACTGGCAGAGTGAGGAGAATTATGCAGTACAAAGTACGCCAGTGCCACCTGAAGATCAGTCTCATCTTTACCCATAGGAAGGGAGGATCTGTTTGCCTGCCATGAGTATCAGCCTTGTGTAAAAAGTTTCCTGCTGCGAGTCACCAACTTACTGCTAAGAATCCTAAAATAAAAAATTTAAAAAGACCTCTTGTTATCTTCTAGGAAAAGTTATCTTAGTTGCCTTTAAAATGTCTTTTTCAAAATAGAGAATCTTAAAATTCCTTTCATTTATGGCAATCCAGCTACTGGCCCTACTGTGTTAAGTCAGCTTGTATAATTTATTTTCTTTCAAGCAGTATACAGCCACTAGTGTATGGTTTGGAAAATAAAAGCAGGAACATGGCCCCAAAAAGGGTGGGTCTGTGAATATTTTATTGTACTATTTGCTAACTCTTGGCTTTTGTTACTTCTAAACTTCTATTAACCCAATAATTTTGAGCTCTCTACACATTTTCTTTTTACCTGCAAATTTATCGTAATTCTTTCCAAAGTAGATGCAAGACCCATTATGCTACCTGGGAGATAAAAACCCAGTGCTGGCCATCTGCATATATTTGATGATATTCTTCGGTTTAACTACAATACAGAAACAAAGTCCACCCAGTTCAACTGTCCCATACTAGCTGCCTTCTTCAATGCCTCTTCACCAGAAAAATCTAAGCTTGACCACAGCAATGTTTCCAAACTATTTTCCACTTCAGAGAAGAAAAAGCTGGCATTGCAGTATTTTTCTGGGACGTTGGGCAGCTGCACTGCCAACTCAAACATTCAAAAATCTTCCTCTTTCAGACTGCTTAATTTTTTTGCGGTCATCTGACACCTGGCACAAACATTGGAAGACCCAAAAGAACAGTCTTCTCCAAGTAGTCTTATCAACACATTCAGTTTCCTGAGTCAGCAAATAGTAGCCACACTTCATACTAACTTAGAGGCAAGCAGAACATGAGGGATCTTAAGCTTTTTTGTTAGATATACAGAAGTATAACAGGCATGAGGAGCTAAGTGGCACTACTCCATAGCTGCAGCCTTTCTCTTACACTACCATTGTAACAAGACCCACCTTTTCATGAATATATCATATAGAAAATTAACTTTAATTTGGCTTTGCTGGTTTTCTGCTGACTGCACCTTCTGCCTCAGGGAGCTGCGGGTGGGAAGGTACAAGGGAAAAAAAAAATAAGGCAGGAATGTTTCTTCATCCTTCCTAATTGCTTTAGCTTGTGCTATCATGACATTGGTCATAATTCTACCAGCAACATGCAACTCAAGCTACGGATGGTTACTCAAGCTTACATTTACAGCTACACTCCAAGACTGCCATGATAGGCAAACAGGGCCTGATGTGTTCTTTGAAATGTCTTGAAATTTGGGATAACATTGGAGAATGACAACTATAAACCATTACCTAGATACCCTATCTAGGCCTGATGTTTTTCCCTAAAATTCAGCATTTCATCCCACAGCTTCCAGAAGTACAAGCCCTCCAGGAATCTAGTCATGGACCTGTCCTGGTTATTTTCCCTAGCTACTACCTAGGCGCAGTGAGGAAATACATCCTCGTCAAGCTTTCAGATGACACAAAAGCAGGGACAGCACTGAGCTGCCATTCAGAGGCACTTAGGCAATCTAGAGGAATGAGCTGACAGGAATGTCACTCAAAAAGGACAAACCCTGTCCTGCACTTGGAATGGAACAACTAACTGCAACAGTAGGAGCTAGAAATCAAGCAGTGAGGGCTCCTGGTGGATCTTATGACCAAGCATAAAATCATACACCTTGGACTTATGCCTAGGCTTAAGTCAGCAGCGTGCCCTGGCAGTGGTGAAGGCCTACAGCACCCTTGGCTGTATTAACAGGGGTGTAGCCAGAAACTCAAGTGAAGTGATTATCATTCCCCTTTACTTGGAACTCATTAGTCCACATCTAAAATCTTATATCTAGTTTGGGGTCACCTAGTACAAGAAAAGTCTTGATAAACTTGAGCAAGTCCAGCAGACTTGCACACAAGGCTGGAGCACAAGACCTGTGAGTCAAGGGGCTAGGGGAACTGGGCTTGTTTTGCCTAGCAGAAGGCAGCTTGGTGAGCAGAGGACTCAATAGCAGCCATCCAGTATCTGTGAGGAATTACCAAGAAGATAGAGACAAGACAGGTTCTTTACAGATGTGACAAAGGTCATAAAATGAAACAAGGAAGATTCAAATGGATGCAAAGAGAACAAACAAACAAAAAATCACTGTGAGGATAATTAAGGTCTCGAATAAAGGCCCTGAGAGGCTACAGAATCTCTACCTTGAAGGTTTTTTGAGACCTGACTAGAGAAAGCCTGGACAATCTAGGCCAAACCCAGGGATGGCCCATCTTTGATGAGTTTGAACTAAATGACCTCCTGAGGTCTTTTCCAACCTGAATAATTCTGTATGTTCTCTTTTACTTGAGGGAATAGATTTAAAAGAAATGCATTACTCATGTAAGTATCTAGAAGTGATTTCATCACCTTGAAAAAGACTCCTTTGAATATCAACATAGCTACTAACTGATCAAGAGACAGAAAAGGAGCAGAGGTGTAAAAAATCTGTTGGAAGAAAAAAAGTAAACTAAAGCTCATACATTCTGCCAGTGGCCCCCAAAAATGTGCATTCCATTCAGTTCAACATTTCAAAGGTTTTTCAGAATGTTCTTGGAGGGATTTTTGTCAAAAGCTCAGCAGGTATTTGGTACTAACCTGAGCTACCAGAACAATATGTTTAACTGCATTCTGGTATGTTGGAACGGGGATTCAGCATGATACCCTTCAAAACCTCAAAGGTGAAATTTCCTCTTTACAGATGTACATCAACATGCTTTGAAGTGTCTTCATCGTCTTTGGGTAAAAGGCCCTCCAGACATGGAAAAATGGGGGGAGGCTGGCAGAAGAGTATTATTTGTTTCTTTACTGACTGCAATAACCTGGCAGAAAAAGAATGTGGTTTGCAGAAGCTTTTTAAAATGTCACAGAGTTCTTGAAATGTAATAAACCAGAAGCTTTTGGCAATCTTACACAAAATATCCTGTCAAAAATGAAGGCGATATGAATTTGAATGGACGAGTATTTCTTAGGAGGAGATCATAATCCTCTTCAAATTTTCATCCACAATTTTATAAAGGAAACTAGAAAACAAACGAACATCCAGTGGAAACCACCCACAACCCCTGCAGTTCTACTTGTACTCCCACAGTAGCCTTAGAACTCCATAGGAAAAAGCCCCACCAGTATAGCAAGTTCACTGGCCAGTATAGAACTTCACAGTATGTGAAGATGTTATTAACTTCATATACTAAAAGTAATTCCACTAAATTAGCCTAGCTTTTTAACAGCAGTTCCAGTGTAAGTATGTGCTTATATCTTTCTATGTCAAGGTCTTCAGCTCTCACACTCCTAACTTAACAAAGAAACCCCCAGAAGGGAAAATAATTATTCTGGTTAAACAAAACTGAAATGTCAACAGTAGAAAACTAGAAAACACATTTTATTATTAATTTAGATTGAATAGGCTTGAATCTCCATCTGACTTTCCCACCACAACTGCCAGACTACTCCAGTACTTATCCCACAGAGACTACAGATATTTTGAATACCAGAAAGATGTAGAACAACTACCGTTTTACTGCACATCTAGTTTATGCTTTTTCTTAAAATACACTGCAGGTATTTTCTTCCCTATACAAGGGCCTGAAGTAAGGCACACTCATGTTTTAGAGCTTTTAAGAATGCAGGCATTACTTTTTCCACAACTCTAAAGAAATATGCTACAGAACTATTGCAACAGTATTTTTCATCCAGTAGACTAAAAATTCCTTTGTAGAGAAAAAAAAGTACTTAGAAAGAGCCAAAACCCCTCAAAACCTAGATGTAAAAGCAGGGGGAAAAAAAAGAAGCAAAAAAGAGAAGGATTTACAATTGATGCCTCAAGCAATGCACAAGATTTTACTTCACAGACTAAAAAGAGTAGAAGCTCACAGAAGAACCAACCTTGTATCTTCCAATGACACTTGACCAGACTCTTCATCCACTATGATTTTACAGTGATCTCCAGACACCAACTTGTTGCCAGGGAAAGATAAGTCACAACCTTAAAAAGAAAGCAGATTTTCCAGTGTGCTTAAAAATACACATTACACAGACAGCTCAGCATTCCACATGGCTATAAATGCACAACAAACTAACTACTCATGTACATCTGCAATAGTTCAAAACCTCTACTGACTTACAGACAGAAACACAGCCTACTACGAGATACCTAAACACAAGTGGTGAGATATCCCTATGTGCTGATATAAGCTTACTCCAATCATTTCAGGATGGTTTAGTTGCCTTTCCTCCCCTCCCCCCCGAATCCTAGCCTTACAGATGGAAATCAAATCACAACTACTCTGTCCTAGAGTGGTACAGAGATAAATTCACACATATTTGAAGTGTTTGATCTCAGCTCTAGAAACACACATCACAGAGCACCCAACTCTTTTTCCACATCACTGTAACACCATTTCATTGGTTTTAACTCTTGCTTTGTTCTGCTCTATTGTGAGGAAAGCAGCAGTGACCAAGAGCTGATAAATAAAACAGTATCACTGTGCTACCTTAAAGTTGTTGTCCTTTTTATGAGTGTTTTTAAACAGGAACATTTTCCTCACCTCTATTGACAGCACTATTACAGTAGTAAAGCTGAAGAGAGTTAAAAATGCAGGACTAAGATTCAGGGATATGCAGGAGAACGATGTTAACACGACAGACACCTTCCTACCAACAACTCCAGGGCTCTGAGCCAATCTAGTATTTTTACTTCACTTTAACACTGCGTGTTCAAGGCAATGCTCAAGGTTGCCTACTAACTTCTCTCACATATGACTCAAAGTACTTGCTTACACAAAAGTTATAATTAACAAATGTTATTCACTTCCACCTACTCGCAGTGTGGGTGCACTGTATCTCAGCCTGCAAGAACAACGTATCCAGGAGGAGAGCAGCAGCTGCTACACATGCTGCTGACAGCTTATCACTAGTCTACTCCTAATATTCACCAGCTACAGAGTTAACTGTTGCCACACAATCTGTGATGTCAGGAAGCCTAAGTGGGTAGAATACATGTGATTGAGGAAGGGACCAACTTTTCCATTCAATGATACAAACTTAGACTTTCATCTAGGAACAGGAAGGTCAGAATCCTCCAAAGAAGCATTTATAATGCTCCTGAAGATTTTGTAGTTAATACTTATGATCCAAAGCTTAGTATTCTGTAACCACACGTTTCATTAATCCATTAGCAAACAGTTATGGAAGCAATAAAACAAGCAAAACTCCATCTTTCTCCTGCAAGATAACCTTCAGCTAGCCCTCAATTTGAAGAATTTACCTACAGCTTAGATGATGATAAACAATCTAAATGCACATTACCACATGTAAATAGGTAAAACACTCTGATGGTTGCTTTAAATGCAGTAAGCATTAAATCCTTTAAAATAAAGGCAAGCAGTAAAAGGTCTAGACTTTGGGAATAAAGTTTTCAAAGCTCCTCTCAGAGCAGCTTTCAGAACTTGTTGGCAATCTTTATATGGCCAGAAGAATTAAGGGCTTTTATGTGGGCGTTTTCTTTTCTGTGAAGCATAAGCATTTTGCATTGCAGTTCCAACTTATTTTAACCACAGAAACGCACTGAGAACGTAAACAGGACTGATGATACACTGAAACTCTTCTGAATCAACAATCACTTTTTCTTATTTGTACCAACTGCCACAGACTACCTAAAAGAGACACTCAATTTTCAAATGTGCACATGTCACAACCTGGTAAAAAGGATCAGTGTAAAACTTCATCTTTACACAGAGCCAAGACGTAAAGTAGGAATAAGGCACCGCCTGGCAAACACCTTCAACATTTGAAAGCACCAAAACCAACTAGTTTCAGCCCACCTTCCCACGCTTTAAAGGCCAGGAGGAGGGATCGCTGGTGTCCCCCCAAACACCGCCCTACGCCTGCACGGCATGTCCCCGTCCCACCTTTCTTCCGCCCAATTGTCCATTCTCTTTTCAGCAGCAAGACGTGCGGCTCTGCCTCATCAGCACCCAGCCGGATCAGCCTCCCCCAGGGCTG